TTTATCAATATGTAAATCAATGGAAGTGTAACTGATGTGATTCTGCAAGCTGTATACGGGGTAAAATGGGAGTTCATAACCCACTTGAATCAAAATGTGAAATATGATATATCAAGAACTATGTAATGTTTTGAACAACCAACAATAAAAAAAGAAAAATAAATAAACTGTGCTGTAAATTGAAATATGTAAGTATAGTTAGCTTTCTATGTCCTCAGATTCAACTAACCTCAGAAGAAAACTATTCAGAAAAAATCTTGCATCTATACTGAACATGTACAAACTATTTTTCTTGTCATTATTCCCTAAACAATAAAGTATAACAACTATTTATATCATATTAGGTATTTTAAGTCATCTAGAGATGATTTAAAGTATATGGGAGGATTTGCATAGGTCCTGTGCAAATACTGTACCGTTATATAAGGCACTTGAACTCTGCAGATTTTTATAACCTTGAGGCCTAAAATCAATCCCTCTTGGATCCCAAGGGATGAGTGTATATCCACTGAAGTAAATGTAAGTGAATTGACTATTGACTATTTGATAAGACAACTGATCTAACAGGACATTGAAAGTACAACTTAAAATAAGCAAATAGATTTTTTTTTTTTGTACCAGGGATTGAACTCAAGGGCACTTGACTACTGAGCCACATCCCCAGCCCTATTTTGCATTTTATTTAGAGACAGGGTCTCACTGACTTGCTTAGTGCCTCAGCATTGTTGAGGCTGGCTTTGAACTCACGATCCTCTAGTCTCAGACTCCTGAGCTGCTGGGATTATAGGCATGTGCCACCATGCCCAGCTAGATTAGAATTTTTATCACAACAAAAAGACAGTTTACAACCCCCAACTAAAAAGACTCTTCTACCCATCAGCTATGTTTTCTGTAGGTTTTTTATTTAAAAAAATAAGGGGTGAAATTAATCTAAGGTTCTAATATTCTGTGACTTCATAAAAACTCAAATAAAAAGCATTTTTATTTTTAATAATGGTTTCCTCTTTAGATGGCCAAGTTATTGTGACTGAAGGTGTTTCAGAAAATAGGAAGCAGTGGCAGCAGGAAGCACCAGGGACTTTAATGGATGCTTTGGCAGCAGCACCTCTTACAAGCAGCTCATTTTCTGCCAGTGAAGGAGAGCCTGGTATGCACTTAATTTTTAACTACATAACAGTTCCCTGAGAAATTTTGTCAAAGATTTGTAGGTGCAGAAAGTGGATAACGATTCCTTCAACCTGGAGAGGAGATTGAGAGGAGATCCATCCTTTTTAGGAGCCAATTTGTTTTGTCTAAGCGAATCCCAAATACTATTAACAAATGACATGAACTTCCAAGGACAGTGGCATCATTTTCTTTAACATAACCAGCTGACAGCTGATGCCAAGTGCCAGCAGCTCTGAAGCTGATGATCTAGTATTGCTTAGCTTTACCTGAGAGAGAGACAGTTTATGTCTGACTGTTTTGCAGGGGGACTCATGACTATCCTTTGGCAATAAAATTCTTCTGGATGTAGTTTGTTTTGTTTTGTCTTCAATTTTTAGCAAGATTTTGCTTTTTTTTTTTTTTTTTTTTGATCTGGAGTCTTACATGGTGCCCAGACTGGCTTCAAACTTCTGGGTTTATATGATCTTCCTGCTTAAAAGGCTTATTATTTAATTGCTTTTTAGATTTATTACTAAGCCATTTCTTCTCCATCCATACATAAATATCATTACCTATACTTGTATCCTTTGACTGTTTTATGATTTTTATACTATGATGGTATAAATTCCTTTTGTAAAATTTTAGAGGTACTGGGGTTGTGGGTCAGTGGTAGAGCACTTGCTTAGCACATGTGAGGCACTGAGCTTGATTCTCAGTACCACATAAAATAAATAAGTAAATAAAGGCACTGTGTCCATCTATAACTAAAAAAAAAAATTTAAAAAAATTTAAAGGATTTTGAGTGTGAATGAAAGAGAAATAATAGCTCATTTTCTGTCAGTGAAGGAGAGCCTGGTATGCACTTAATTTTTAACTACATACATTTACTTTTATAATACCATAAAAGTTATTTTTCATGGGTTTTACTCCTTGCAAGAGAATCTTGTTGGTGTGGGGGATCAAACCCAGGACCTTGCAAATGCTGAGACACACTGAGACACACCGCTGAGCTTACCTTCAGCCTGTTTGCAGTATAATGGCAGGCAGCACTGAATATTTGTTACGAGTGGTCACTGTACTTAGACAGAATGGGAATAACTTCTGGCTCTCCTGCTGCCAATAAGATAACCAGTCTTATCTTCCATTTCCTCATTTGTAAAATCAGAGTTATGGAAATGTCAACTTCAATGGATTGTTTTAAATATTAAATGAGATAATGCATGTAAAATGTCTAGAAAGTTACCTAAATGTAATAAATTATAGCTTTTTTTAAAAAAAATTTATTTAGAGACAGGGTCTCTCTGAGTTGCTTAGGGACTCATGAAATTGCTGAGGTTGGCTTTGAACTCGCAATCCTCCTGCCTCACCTCCTGAGCTGCTGGGATTACAGCTAAATTATAGATTTTAAAATAGTGGTTTTACGGGCTGGGGATGCAGTTCACTGGGAGAGTGCTTGTCTAGCATATGCAAGGCCCTGGGTTCAGTCCTCAGTACTGCAAAAACAAACAAAAAATAAAACAAAATAGAGATTTTATTCAGCCATAAAAAATGAAATTATGTAATTTTCAGGAAAATGGATGGAACTTGAGAACATTATGTTAAGCAAACCAAGCCAAACTCAGAAAATCAAGGGTCGTGTGTTTTCTTTCATATATGAAAGCTAGAGAGAAAAAAGGGGGAAAAAGGTGTGTGTGTGAGGTCTTATGAAAACCAAAGGGATTTCAGTGGGATTTCAGATAGGGAGGACGACATTTGTGTTCCCCGCCATAGTCTGCTCTTAAGGTATAAAAGGGAATTTCAGAGTCTCCTCCTGTACCTGGATGGGCAAGTTTTTCCTGTAAGTCAAACGAGTAGCATTCCCCCCCCCCAAAAAAAAAAAACCAAAGCAAATTACCATATTGAAGGGGTCTGATTCTCTTAGCCCCAATGATATTACACCCAAAGTAGGAGAGCTGGATCATGTGATAGTTCTATTTTTAGGCTTTTGACTGTTTCCCATAGCAGCTGCATCATTTTACAATGCCACCAACAGTGCACAAAAGTTCCAATATTTCCACATCCTCACAGACACATGTTCATTTCTGCTTTTTAATGGGGTCATCCAAATGGAGATGAGGTAATATTTCACTGTGGTTTTGATTTTAATTTCCCTGATGGTAAATGATATGGAACATCTTTCCATATATTTGTCATGGTAGGGGACAGAGAGATCGACATAGCCCCTTAGCTCTTCTTTTTCCTCTCTCTTTTTTTGAGACAGGGTCTCACTAAGTTGTCAAGCTGGCCTTGAGCTTGTGATCCTTCTGCCCAGTCCCCTGAGTAACTGGGATGACAGGTGTGTGCCACTGCGCCTGGCTCTTATTCTGCTTAAATGGAGATGATTAAAGGTTCATGGTTCAATATACAACTGTAGGGTTTTTGTTGTATATCGCTCATCAAGTGTATAGGCTGAGCTGCTTTAATTTTGCTGTCATTTCGTTTACAGTAGGAACATTAAAACAATGGCTTCCTAAAGAAGAAGAGGGGAAGGTGGGAATGTCCTCTGGCATTGAAGTAGATGAGGAACAACTGGAACCAGGCTCTGATGATGATACGTAAGTAGGCCCTACAACCATGGATTTGACTTCACTCGGGTTTGGAGTTTGAATCACAATGCTTGGATGGTTGGGAGACGTTTTCATTGAGAGACTAAAATTGGGGCTGGAAATATAGCTCAGTGGTAGAATGCCTGTCTAGCATGAGTGAGGTTCTGAGTTCAGTCCTTAGTAGGAAAAAAAAAAATCTTGAGAAACTGACATTAAGGAATAGTAATACTCCTGGTATCTCTAAAACACTATAGAGCTGGGTACAGTGGTACAGACCAGGTACTCAGAAAGCTGAGGCAGGAGGATTGCAAGTTTGAGACTAGCCTGAGCAATTTAGCCAAAACCTGTCTTAAAATAAAAAACAAAAAGGACTGGGGATGTAGTTTAGTGGTAGAGAACTTACCTAGAATGTGTGAGGCCCTGAGCTCAATCCCTGGTACAACAAAAACAAAAACCACTCTGGCGTTATAAACATTGTATTTTTTTTTTCCACCAAAGCTCTGCTGAAGAGGAACTCACAATTTAAAATTTAAAAATAGAATCTAGCACAGTAGCACAGGCCTGTAACCCAGCTACTTGGGAGGCTGAGGTGGGAAGATTCCTTGAACCCAGCAGTTCAAGGCCAGCCTGGGGGCGGTATCACAAAACCCTTTCTCAACCAACAAAGCAGAAACTTGGAATCTGCTAGAGAAAATAGTAACACAAGTTGATTAAGACCATAAAAAATTCAGATAATATAATTATCCTATGAAGATTTTAATACTAAACATTTAAAATCATTCAATTAAAATAATTAGGAGGCTGGAGATGTAGCTTAGCATGCACAAGAACCTGGGATTCAATCCCCTGCACCACCACTACCAACAACAAAAGAAACAAGAGGAAAAAAAGAAAAAACAATCCCTCAATGAAGAACAGGAAAATTGCCTTGTCTGGACTGCTATAACAAAATACCTTGGACCAGGTAACTTACAAATACAGATACTTACTTACTGTCCTAGGTGTCAGTAAATCCAAGATGAGGCATTCAGCAGATTCCATATCTGGTCGGGGCTAGTTTTGGGGATCATAGATAACACCTTTTAGTTGTGCTCTCACATGGTGGAGGTCAACGAGCTGCCCCAGGTCTCTTTTACAAAAGCACTAACCCCATTCATTGGGGCTTTACCTTCATGACCTCATCACTTCTTAAAGGCCCTATCTCTTAAAACTATCACATGGGAGGTCTGGGTTCTGAATTTTAGGGGGATGCAAACATTCAAATCACAGGAAAAATTTTGATAATTAACTAACTAGAACTTCTGGAAATTTAAAAAATTCTCTAGGTAGAAATTAAAATTTAAGCCCCAGGGGCTGGGAAGTTATAGCTCTGTGAGAGAGTGCTTGCCTAGCAATCTGAAGACCCTAGGTTCCATCCCCAGCAGCATAAAAAGTCAAAAAACCAAAATTCAACAAATAAGCAAATACCTGAATATATATAGTTAATGAAGGAATTAGTAAATGGAAGACAGGTCTGAGGAAAAAAGTTTTCTACAGCAATAAGATATAAAACTATTAGATCACTAAAAGGACCAAATAAACTTGAATCATATATATAGGAAAAATAAATACTTTTAAAGAGAAGAAGAAAAATATCAATAGGACAAATAGTTGAGCCACCACAAAAGAAAGGAATGGTTATTTTTCTCTCTTAAGAAATAAAGAGCCTCACCACCATTTGACCCATTTATCCAACTCCTTGATATATACCCAAAGGACTTAAAATCAGCTGGTAAATTGATGGAACTGGAGAATATCATACTAAGTGAAATAAGCCAATTCCTCAAATCCAAAGACTGAATGTTCTCTCTAATACACAATAAGGGGGAGGGGAGGGAAGAATAGAATTTCACTAGATTAGACAAAGGCAAATGAAGGGAAGGGTGGGGGGATAGGAAGAAGAACGACAGAATGAATTGGACATAACTTTACTGTGTTCATATATGAATATACAATCAGTGTAACTCCACATCATCAACCACAAGAATGGGATCCTAATTAGAATAAGTTAAACTCCATGAATACATCAAAACACACTCCACATTATATACACCTAAAAAGAACCAACAAAAAAATAAAAAAGAAATAAAGAGCCTGCATTAGAAGACTTACATCTGATGATACACAACTCAGAGAAGTTGCAACCAAAATAAACAACAAAGGATAGGTCCATAAAATGAAGAATACACACAAAGAAGTCACCCCGTGGAAAGCCATGCAAAGTCCATGAATGATCACTGAAGGAGAGCCCAGGGCAAGACATGAAGCTAGACAGTCCTCATCAGCAACTGGGGAATTCACATCAAAACACCCAGACATGGCAAGAGTGACCACACAAAGTGCTTCGAGGTGTTGGGAAAGACTGGCTTTTCCTGGGGGCGAGTGCAGGACATGAATTGGAAACTGAACATTCACCATTCCACATTATCCGTTCTCTAGCTCCTCATACCATGTGCCCAAGGAGATACGCAGGAGGACATGAGTTGCCAGATGACAGGGAGATCGCAGTGTCCCTCTAAATGGGAATGCAGTGTAGTTGTATTAGCTGGTGAGCCAGGATTCCCTTAAAGCCAAGAGGCTCATTTCTCTATCACACAGCATCCTCATGTGCAAAGACAGCTGGGTTCTGCAGCAAGGCTCAGTCTAGTGTTCGTCTCTCTACAGAGTCCTTCTTCTGTCCCTCACATCACTGCCATCTATGGAGCCCAGCAAGGCAGCTGTAGGCCCAGCTGTAGGTCAAGGTGTAGACAGAATAAGAGGTTGACAATGGCATCAGATAGACTTGATCCAATGCAGCTTATGTCCAGTACGTGCCGCAGTCTGGCTGGGCACAAATCACGAGCCACTCAAGAGAAACAAACTATTTCTGAACTCCACCAGCACACTCCACACACGCTCCCGGGGACGCCAGGCGGCTCCTCCAGGAACCACCAACCGGAAGTCCCTCCTCCGGCATTTCCCCAACCAATGGGAACTCTTCAGGAATCCCTGTGAGAGCTCAACTGGAACTCAACTGGAACTCTGTAAGAACTCAAAAGTCGTCATCTTAATGGCTTGCTGGCGTCACCTCTCAACCACTACTTCTGGCAAAAATGCCATGCGTCATCCCAACTCGGGCTGTGGCCCTCAACAAGTGCGGTCAGATTTGAGTGGGAATAGATGGCAGGCTCTGCTGCAGTGGTCCATTCAGAGATGGAGAAACTGTCAGTTAAAGGGAGTTGGATCTGCAGGCATCAGTTGAGATGAACCTCCATGATGGAGTGAGTGGAGCTCAGCGGAAAAGCAAAGGCAGAGAGCACACTGCGTAGCAGTCCGGCACACACATTGTCAACATGCAAGTTTATAACAAAATACAACTTATAATTTTATGAAAAATGTGAAAGAATGTTAAGAGGCATGAAGGTCCAATATATGTGAAAAAAGAGTTCTCAAAGAAGAGAGTGAGGAAAAAGCAATATTTATTTATTTTTAAATATTTATTTATTTTTGTTTTCGGCAGACACAACATCTTTGTTTGTATGTGGTGCTGAGGATTGAACCTGGGTCGCATGCATGCCAGGGGAGCACGCTACCGCTTGAGCCACATCCCCAGCCCCGAAAAAGCAATATTTAAAGCAACGATAGCTGTGAACTTTTTTGCAATTTTTATTTGATTACATGATTTTGTTTCTGCAGTGCTGGGGATTGAACCAGGGCCTTACACATCCTAAGCAAGTACTATACCACTGAGTATACCCCAGCCTCACTTTTCATCATCATTGAGCACATGAATCATCAGATATGGGAAATAAAACAATTACCAAGCAGTAATGATGAAAAGAAACCCATTCCTAGATTCTTCACACTTTAAATTATTTTTAAATTTTTTTTTAGTTGTACATGGACACAATACCTTTGTTTTATTTATTTACTTTTATGTGGTGCTGAGGATCGAATCCAGGGCCTCGCATGTGCTAGGCAAGCGCTCTATCACTGAGCCACAACCCCAGCCCCCCACACACTTTAAATTATAAAGGAACGAAGACAAAGGGGAAATATTTTGTAAACCACATACCTTAGAATGATAACTTGATAAGTGGGAGCTGTCAAATTTATGGATCCCTCCTTTTTTAAGGATTCATGTTAAATTTGTGGTCTCTGGGTTCAGTGGAGTCCTTTGCAATGCCTCACAATCCCTTGCCTGGTCAGTGTCCTTCCCTGTGGCACAGCTAGTGTGAACCCTCATCCTTGCACACCCACTCCTGACCATCCTGCTCTCATCCTGCGACAGTGCCTGATACAGACTTCACAAGACCACTGTGCGGTTTATAGGTGGAGTCACCAGAGTTTCCCAGCTCTGGAACTTCTCTGTATTCACACGAGTCCTGCTTCCCTTCTTTCCTGCTCATTGTCACCACCTTCTTGTCCCGTTGCTTTCTCAGTCCATTGTACATTGGCCCCTGCTGCCTGGCACTGTTCTGGAATATGCTCTCAGAGGTGGTCTGTTACCGTATCACCCAGGCGGGACATCATTTCTCAACCCTCATCTCCTCTGGCTTCTCCTTGGCTTCCTTACTCTTATTCTTGGCTCTTACCAGCTCTGTCTCCTTCACCTGCTGCTGAAATATTAGCGTTCTTCAAGGTTATTTTCTTGGTCTCCTATTCTTTCCCTTTCTAAAAACCTTGGTGTTGCAGTCTTCCACACAATTTCAATTCCTGGCTCTTCTGACTACAGTCATGGGTCACTTACTGACGGGCAGCTCTGGGAAATACATGCTGTTGGGCGATTTCATCTTTGTGCAAACATGATGTAGTGCAGTTACACAACCCTGAGGTGAAGGTCGGCGAAGGTCACTTGAGGTTACTCAACCTGGCCCCTTGATGCCATCAAGAGATGCAGTAAACAAGAGATACAAAAGGCTGCTGACAGGGTAACACATTAAATGATATATGATAAAAAGTACAGTAAATTCACAACCCAGTCGTGTAGTTACTTGTCAGTATCAAGTATTAACAAGATTATTATATCATTATATCACATATATATATAGTTTTATATCATTATTAAGTATTATATGTGTCACACCTTTTGTAGTAAGTATGTACACCAGCAACACCACAGACAGGTACATGATATGCATCATTCCGAGGCCATAGGAATTTCTCAGCTCCACTCTAATCTCGTGGGACCACTGTTGCCTATGCAGTCCATCATTGACAGAGACGTTGTTATGTAGTGAGTGACTGTGGTGCCTCTGAATGAGCTACATTCCCATGCCCTTTTAAAATCTTTATTTTGGGATGGGGGTATTGCTAAGTGCTGAGGCTGGCCTTGAACTTGCGATCTTCCTGCCTCAGCCTTCTTAGTCACTGGGTTTATAGGTGTATGCCACCATGCCGACTATGCTCTTTATATCCTATGATGGCCTTTTTATATAAAATTCTTAGCCTGGTGTCATAAAATGATGCTGAAACCCCGTGCATGTTTTTCAACCTCTCCCAAGCCCCAATTTCTTATCTATAATTTGATAAGAATGTCTACCTTAAGCTATTAGTATTTAAATGAAATGTAGTGTGTGATAGTTCCCAAGGTCAGGGACTGGCATATGTGTACCAGGAACTAATATGTACAGAAGTTTTATTTTGTGTTGTTTCTTTCTCTTCCTCTTCTCTTCATCATAGTTGTGGTGGATACTAATAGATACAGTAATGGTTATTGAATGCAAATCCACCAGAGGACTGGTTCTCCCAATGTTGGTTGGTTGTCACCCTTAGGAAATCCAAACTGATACAATAAGTAATTTATTACCTGAGTGAAATGCAACTTTCATATTATTCATATTATTCAATTTGGAGTAGGCAATGAAAAAGGAAACTAGTTTTTTTTTTCTTAATCTTTATTTTTATTTTTGTGTGGTGCTGAGGATGGAACCCAGGGCCTTGCATGTGCTAGGCAAGCGTTCTACTGCTGAGCCACAACCCCAGCCCTGGGAAACTAGTTTTCATATTAGTGCTTTTATAACACAATGTTGATTTGTTTTATTTTACTGTTTATTATTTCAGAAATTTTGAAGAGTCTGAAGATGAGTTGAGAAACGAAGTAGTAGAATCCCTAGAAAAACTCACTACTTCCAAAGAAGTAAAAAGGGAAGAGGTTTCCAGTTCCTTTAAGGATGTTGAAAAACCAGGAGAAAGAGAAAGGATTAGCATGCTGAAATCTGAAGAATTAAATGAAGGTCTGGAGGCTGTTTCTAGTCCAACTAATGACTGAATTAGCATTATTTATGAACACAAAGGAACATCAACAGCCAGTCAAAATATACAAGTGTGATTATTATCCTTTTTCTTTCTTTTTTCTTTTTTGTGCTGTTGGGGACTGATGGCCTTTGTCTTAAATAGTAAATTAGCATCTATTTACTGTAGTATCTGTTTGGGTGCAAATAAAAAATATTCATTTATTTGTTAAGAGTTTTCCAGTTATCCCAAGCACTTATTTTTATTTCAATTTAGATAATAGAACTTTATATTAATTAATACCTTTACTTTAAAATTTCTATTAAGAAATTTTGAGATAATGTATGTGCTAGGCAGAATAATGCAACTCAACGCCCTCCTCTAGACGACGTCACGTCCTCGTCTCTGGAATTTGTGAATATGTTGTTACCTGGCAGAGGGAAATTGAGGTGGCAGAGGGAATTAAATTCTAACGTAATTCTAATGTGATTCTTGCTATGTTGGTCTTCTGTCAGCGAACAAGAGGAAAAAGACATGTTATATTAATTATATACTAAATAACTTTTATTGAGTTTTTAGTAGTTTTAAGTGTATAGGTTATAAACTTCAAGTGTGTGCTCTCCTACTGAGCTAGATTCCCAAACCTTTTTAAAAATTTTGAGACAGGTCTTGCTAAATTGAGGCTGGACTCAAACTTGTGATCCTCTGGTCTCAGCCTCCCGAGCACTGGGATTACAGGTGTGTGCCACTGTGCTTGGCATGGTCTTTATATCTCACAATGGTCTTTTTTGTATAAAATTCTTAGCCTAGTACATACATGTTTCTTGAATGAATAAATAACTGCTAATACATTTCTTGTTAAAACTGTAAACTTTTTGAGGCAGGAAACTGGAAATTGTATCATATTAATTCCAGTGTTAAACATGTTCCTAGAATTAGATATATTTAATTTAAATACTAGATATATATCTGCTGAAGGATGGACAAGATGGCTAGATTTTTAGAATTCCATCTGAAATATCTGCTCTATACTAAAACTAAAATGGTGCATTGGTTGGTAGATTGTTGGACCAAGAAAGAAAAGATGAGGAAGAGTTTTTCAGATTATTTCTAAGATCTGCTTAGTATTTGCATTTGTCTATTTTTCACTAAATGTGGGGAATGCAAGTATCAGGAGTCACTCACCTGGGATATGTCCAGTGTTTAGTTCCTGGTGATATTTGAGGGACTGTTCTTTCAACTTTGTACAGTTACATTCTACTTGTTTAGGGAGGTGCTTAGTATGTGTATATCATGAGGCTGAAATTAAAAAGTTCTCAACATTATGTTTATTTCAAACTGGGTAATAAGTGGTCCTGAGAGATTGGAGCATCATTAATTCTACAGCTCTGCTAGTGGTTGCCATACATGTTTATTTACTTTCAAGACATGACTAGTTCAGATATAGTAAATCTGCTAGAGTCTGCATGTAACCCCAATTTTGAATGGAATGTGAAAGCATGAGAAGCAAAATGATTCCTAAAAATCCAAAGACCAAGTCAATGAAAGGCAGAAGAAAAAAGTTTAAGAATAAGCATATCTCTCTGTGTGTGTGTGTGTATACACACATATATCAGTGTGTATATATATATATATAAACATATATATATATACACACACACATATACATACATACACTGCAACTATTCATGGGGGTAAATACATATTATTGGCAAGGGTTTTCAACCTGTTTCAGCCCCTAATTCATCTTACCATTTAAACACATTCCCTACATTGTGTTCTTTAGGGGCAGTTGATGGGCTTTGCTCTGATTTTAGGCTTGGCTCCAGCTACTGAACAGAAACTGTTTGATCAGACCTGCATCTGCTTGTTTTTAGAATACATTTTATTAGGAAAATTGTTAGCTATGTATGATAGTCACCAAACCAATTATCCTTTAAATGGTGCCAATAAGTACATAAACCCTGCAACTTCCCTTCTCTTTTTTAGAAAATTTGTTCTTTTTATGTATGACAGAAGAGTGCATTTTGACATATCATACATACATGCAGTATAACTTCCCATTCCCGTGGTTGTACATGATGTAGAGTTTCACTGGTCATATACTCATATATGAACACAGGAAAAGTTAAGTCCAATTCATTCTACTGTTTTTCTTATTCCCATCCCTTCATTCTAATATCTAATCCAATAAACCTGTATACCCCCACCCAATGCCTTAGCATCCACACAAAAGAGAGAACATCTGGCCTTTGGTTTTTTTGGGACTGGCGTATTTCACTGAATATGATAGTCTCCAGTTCCATCCATTTACATGAAAATGCCATAATTTCATTCTTCTTTACGGCTGAGTAATACTCCATTGTGTGTATATATACCACATTTTATCTAGGTCCTGTGATCTCTCTTCTACGTGCCTTGTAACTTTTACACTAGTCCATGTGAGCACAGACCACTAAGATATTAGAACTGATGCTAATCTATTTTTCTAAGATGGGAAAAGAGAGTCAGCAGAGGAGCAATGGAGAGGAGGGGTAAATTACAGAGACCAATTAGCTTCTAGACACCTATATAGCTTGTAGTTTTGCAACAGAAGTTAACTTTTCTTTCATACTCATTGACATGGCACAGACATACTATTTCAGTCTTGGAGTTTAGGGTATGCCGCAATCTGGCTGGGCACAATTCAGGAGCCACTTGTCAAAAGAAATGAACTTTATTTTTAGAACATACACATCACACCACACAGCTCCTCAGGAAAAACCCTCAGAGCCCAACTCCCACCACCGGCTTCCCACAAGCCTCTCAACCTCCCCCACTCCTCCTGCTCTTGAGGCCGATTGGCTGGGTGGTGTAGGCGGAGCGAAAAAAGTCCCCCAATGAGCAGCTCCGTGGTCTGAAAGGGCGGGGAAACAGCCCAATGAGCATCACTGCAGAGGAGCCAATCAGTTGGCAGCTAGAAGTTTGCTGGGGCTGCTGTGAGCCAATCATCAGCTGGCAGCTGGAAGTTTGCTGGCAGCTGGAAGTTTGCTGGGGCCCCTTCAGGTGTGGCTTTCAACAAGGGTACATTTACATAATTAAACACAAATATTCTGAAAGCAATGATAAACATACTGGACTTTATCTCATAATTTTGCCTATAAGATTGCCCTATAAAATACTCTGGAAATTATTAAAGTATATGAGGGCTAGGTGTATAGCTCAGTGGTAAAGTGTGGGCTTGGGTTAAATCCCCAGCACCAAAACCACTAACCAAACAAAAAAAAACCCCTCAAGTGTATGAAGCTCTGCAGTTTTTGGTATGTCTGAAATATTTATTAAAAACAATGTCTAGCCAGGTGCAGTGGTGCATGCCTGTAGTTCCAGCAGCTCAGAAGGCTGAGGCTGGAGGACTGCAAGTTCAAGGCCAGGCCCAGCAACTTAGCAAGACTCTCAGCAACTCAGTGACAGGGCTAGGGATGTAGCTCAGTGGTGGTAAAGTGCTGGGTTCAATCCCCAGTACAAAAAAAAAAAAAAAAAAGGAATTTCTTGGCGTGTGGAACAATAATAATTAAATTGGGAGACTACATGAAAGATATAAAAGGCACTGTATTGGGAAAAATACCTAAGAGAGTGAAAAATCACTGCTTTAAGTTATATTTAGATACTAATACATTTTGCATCTATTAATCTAAATCATAATTAGGTACAAAGGCTATGAAACATATATTCTATAGTGCACAGTTGGAAATAGGAATGTAAATCCCCATTGCTGTGGGTTTAAAACAGCATGTTTGGGCTACTCAGAAGGGAAGTCTTAGAAGAATTAATATTACCCAGAAGTTCCCCAGACAGACATACCACTTGGATACTTCATAGTAAGTCACTCAGAAAACAAACAAACCCCCCCCCAACATATACTATATCACATTAGAAAAACTGAAAATGAACATATATGCAAATAATTTTTTTACATTTGTGATTCATAAAAGTCATTTTGAAGAAGGTTAAAAATGTTTAAGGAATTCCAGAATCTTCTTTTCCTTCACTCCAACCTCTACTTATGCTCTGTTTATTTCAATTTATCTTTAGTTCCATAATTTTGTGTTGATGGACAGGCTGAGGAATAGCAAAAATCTTACCTCAAAGACTAGTTATAAGATAAGCATTGGGTTGAAAGTCAGAACACTGGGATATTACTGATGCTTTCATTAAATAGTTTTGTGACACTGAAGGAGTCTATTAGGTTTTTTAGACTTAAATTGTTCTTGTCTATGAAGTTGAAAATAGGAGAAAGCTGGACTGAAGAATTTGCAGAATTTCCCAACTACAATTTCCATTCTTTGTAAAAACTAAATCACCTTCACCACAAAAGTTCTGTTGGTGCATGGCATCTGGAACAGTTTTATTGCTTTTTAATCTGACAATAAAGATGGGCTGCAGATGAATCAACATAACTCCAGTAAAAAATAAGTGGATAGATGAATATTTGAGACTGCAAAGGAATAATATACCTCTTTCAAATGATTCGAACATAAATGTAAAAAGACTGTAAAGGGAAGGTCAACTCAGTGAACTAGAAGGAATTACATATGCAGAAAATGCCAACAGTTGTAGGTCTTTATAGCCATATCTGCACACTTATTTGCTTTTCCATGCTAGTTATTCAGGACAGAAGTCAAATTAAATTAATACTAATTCCTAGCTACCAGTGTAGAAACCAAGGATCCACATACAATTATAATGCACTAGTAAAAGACAAGATTATAAAATATATTTACTATAGGTTCTTGCCTTTAAAGTAACTTTTATAATTTTCAAAGAAGTTTCACTCCCTCTCAGTGGCACTACCTCTAAAAGGTAATCTAAAAGGTAGTGAGGACAGGTATTAACAAACCCAGATTATAGATTAAAAATCTGAGACTCAGAAAGATTAAGGTGCAGCTTTAGTAGGAGGAGGCCATACACTGTAAATGATGATGAATTTACATTTTATTATTATGAAGCTGGCCCAGATATGACAACTGCTACTCCAGTCCTGTTTTCAAAATGCCACTTTTAATGCATGATGCTGATCATAGACACTCTGTCGACAGCTCTGTGCATTACACCATCATGATGTAAAAACAAACAACTTATCTTTATATTCTCTTGAATGAATCAGGGCTGACTTTTAGCTTAAGATGTGGAGCTGCTGAGAGATGAGGAGATACCCAGAGATATATGCTATCACAGCACTAAACAAAAAGCACCTTTCACAAAAACCTAGTTATGGAAAATATTGGTAGTAGTAACTTGATCCCCACATGCTTCCACACACACTGGAATCTCTTGACTATATATACTTTGGGAACATGATTAGATAAGCCTGCTTCAAGTTTCTTTTGATACTAGGGATTGGACCCAGGGATGCTTAACTACTGAGCCACATCCCCAGCCCTCTTTTTTTGGAGACAGGGTCTAAGTTGCCTGGGGCTTTGCTAAGTTGTTGAGGCTGGTCTCAAACTTAGGATTCTCCTGCCTTAGCCTCCCAAGTCACTTGGATTACAGGTATGTACCACCATGCCCACCTATTTTTTCTTTTATGAAAATCACTAGATGCATTTAAAAAGGTCATGCATAATTTGCTTAGAATTTAAATGTACCAGAATTTGGGGGATGTGGGAATGTACCTTGGTAGATCACTTGCCCTATATTTAATTCACAGCATTAAATGTTTTTCTTTCCTGTTTGCTAACTTGAAAAATTGAATGTAAAAGATATAGATTACATCAGAATTAAATATAAAAAGCTATATAAGATTACCTTTCCATTTCGGTAATTTTGCCTTTTTTCATTGAAATAAATACCGTGTCTATATACACTGCCGAGAACACTGCTCAGGCTGACTTTATTACAACAGGGAGTGAGTTTAGAAAAATATTTACTTATGAAGGTATTTATGATATTTTTTGGTGCTAGAGACTGCAACTAGGGTCTGTACATACCATGCTCTATCACTGAGCTACATCCCTAGTCCAACCATTTTATATAAAATATCTTTAATTTATACAGACGTGTCACTATTTAAATAGCTTCTCCACAGATGATAGGAATGTCACTTCAAACTCCTGATCAGAAAATCTCCTTATGGATTCACGAGCATTTTTTCTGATTTGGAGTCTCCTTTCAGCAGACAGGGAAAGAATATGAGCCATAGTTTCAGCATAGCCTTCTTCACTCTCAGCCAGAAATCCAGTTATATCTCCTTCATGAGGGACGACAATGTCAAGCTTTGGGCCCCCTGAATTATGTGCGAGTATAATTGTGCCAGCTGCCATACACTCCACAACACCTGAGGAGGGGAAAAAAACACACACACATTCTTTTAGGTTGATTGTTGGTTTTGCAGTACTCAGCTTAGAACCCAGGACCTCACACATACTAGGCAAACACTCTACCACGTAGCTACATCTCCAGTCCTTTTTTTTTTTTTTTTTAATTTTTTTTAGTTGTAGATGGACCCAATCCCTTTATTCTTATTTATTTATTTATTTATTTTTATGTGGTGCTAAGGATTGAACCCAGTGCCTCAAAAATGCCAGAGGAGTGCTCTACCACTGAGCCACAACCCCAGTCCATCCCTAGTCCTTCTTATTTTAAGACAGGGGTTTTGCCAAGTTGCCCAGGTTGGTCTTGAACTTATGATCCTCCTGCCTCAGCCTCCTGAGTAGCTGCCATGCTACTCAGCCATCCTTTGAGTTTTAGAGTGTGTTTGTAAGAACAATGATGAGGGTCTCCTTCCATTTCCATGCAATTTCCCTTCTCTCTCCCTTTCCCTCCCACCTCTCATCCCTGTTTAATCTTCTTCTCATGCTCTTCCTCCCTGCTCTTCTGCAATCTGTATACGGGGGAAAAATGGGAGTTCATAACCCACTTGAATCAAATGTATGAAATATGATATGTCAAGAGCTATGTAATGTTTTGAACAACTAATAAAAAAAAGAAAAAAAAAGAGAACAATGATGAGTAGAAACCTTCAGAAATGTCAAGAGACTCAATGACAAATTTAATTAAATGTCTATATGTCTATAAATTTGATCATTTAACTTCCATGGTGCAAAATAAAATAGTTTAACCAGACACAGTTATGCACACCTATAATTCTAGTGGCTTGGGAAGTTGAGCCAGGAGGATTGTGAGCTCAAAGCCAGCCTCAGCAACTTAGTGAGGCCCTCAGCAACTCAGCAAGACCCTGTCTCTAAATAAAATACAAAAAGAGCTGGGGACATGGCTCAATGGTTAAGTGTTCCTGGGTTCCATCCCTGGTAACAAAAAAAAAAAAAAAAAAAGAAAAAAAATTTAAAATTTTTTAGTTCTTAAAGCTTCACAATAATGCTGCTTCATTCTTAAAACAGGTAAGTAGTTAGAAGTCTATAAAAATATTCTATAAAAAGTAAGTACACTGCATAAGACAAATGTCTAAATAATGTTAGCAAGATGGTAGAATATTAACAGGTATCAGAAAGATAAAAGGAGTGAAAAGATATCAAAAGCAAAAGTTTAAAGAGTTCAAATTGCATTACTAGCAGAAAATAGAAAAATGTAAACTACCTCAGTGATGCGTACTGCTGCCGGTGCTCATGTTAATGCCTGAATTTCTGGTGTATTTGATACTACTGTGCCTAAGAGCAGTTTTGAACTAAACAGAAGTTGTGGTTAGTGTTTACCAAATGATACAGGTGAGGGTATAAAGTACCTCAGGCAGCTATTTTTTAGCTATATTCTTGGAGAGAAGCCCTTCAGAAAATGATTTAAGTGATCACTCCTCTGAAGGATGGCACAGAGCTGGTATCATCCCAGGTGCACAGGAAAGAAGCTCAGTCGTTCCAACTGCTTCTTCTACAGCTGTGAAGTCCCTGCAGAGCGGCATTCAGCACCTCATAGGTTGTTGAAGGGCAGCAAACTTCCTTTCACCCTTTCTCTTAGACCTAAATCTAATCAATTCATTTCTTCCTTCCATGATCTTCCACCTCTTCCTCTTTTTCTTTGTACTGGGGAGTAAATCCAAACCCAGGATACTTTTCAATGAACTGCATTCCCAGAACATTTTTTTATTTTTTGAGACTGGGTCTCATTAAGTTGTTTAGGACCTTACTAAGTTGCTGAGGCTGGCCTTGAACTTGTAATCCTCCTGCCCCACTCACTGGATTTACAGGCATACATCATCATATCTGGCTCTCCTGGTCCTTCTCTATCAGCATTTAAGTTAGTTGGAAATCATAAAAACAGGATGGTAGCCGCATGTGTTAAATAAGGGCGGAAGCAGAGTCAGGAATGAGCACCTGGGTCTCAGGGAAGGCACACAAAGTTTTCTTGAGACACATTTTCCCTAGTTATTGATCTCTTTCACCTTCTTTCACAGATAAACTGAAGTGTGGTCTGCATGAACTCCACTTGCTCACCTTTAACTAATGCTCAACTTAGCACAATATGGCTTTTGCTTCCCCTTCTCCCCTGAAACTAGTCTGTCCCAGGTGCTCAATGACTTCTTACTTTTCCCAGCATCTAGGCAGCATGGGACTCTGTTGCCCTTTCCCTTCTTCCTGAAACACTATCTTCCATGGGCTCCAAAGCACTGCACTCTGCCTGTTTTCCCCAACTCATATTCTCCTTTTTGCTGGCCCCTCTTCTGCCCACTCCTTAACTGCTCCTATTCACAGCACTTGGCCGAGAGGCTCTTCTTGCACACTTTACCCACATCTGCAAGGCTTCAATAATCACCTGGATAAGGACGACCCCTCACTCCACACTTCCACATCAGGTCTCGCGTCGCCTTCAGGCCCATATTTACAATGACCTACAGGGTACAAGGACTTACATGTCCCATAGCTGACTCAAACCCCACTCACTGGAGACTTGGCTTACCAAGTGCCCTGCTCCTGGGTTCCCTGCAGGGAAAGCCAACACCATCCCCACAGTTGCCCAAGCCCAGGAAGTCATTTGAGTCTGCCTGCTCCCTCATTTAACATATTTAGCTAACCACCCAGTCCAGTACTCCCTCAGAATCTCTCTCAAGTAGGCTTGCCTACCAAATTCAGATGGCCAGACCCGCTGCCTGGGTTGCTGTAGTAGCCCAGCCCAGCTTCCTGCTCGCCCTCATCCTTCCCACACTCCCCACACTGCAGCCATAGTGGGCTTTAAGAAACAGAAGCTTTTAAATGCGGTAATTGAAATGCTTCCATTCTGGGCTGGGGAGCTTGTGGTAGAGCACTGACCTAGCATGTGAGGCCTTAAGTCCCATCCTCAGTACTGCCTCCTCCCCACAAAATATTCTTCAATCCTTTCCCAATGGTTTGACCTGGCCCAGATTACCTCTGCTGTCCTGCCCGGTCCCCTTCACGCTGGGCTAGGTTGGACTCTTAGTCCCTTGAATGTACCTGGTGATGATTCTGCTTCACTCTTGTCGCAGTGTTGCTGCCTTTGCTGGATATGCTCCCCTTTGGGCTGCGCAACTTCTAATTATTGTCCAGGCCCCAGCTTGGGTGTCACAGTACTTTTTTTGGCTACTATTCTCTGCTCCTATGAGTGTGTTAGGTGTTTTTTGGTAATATTCTTAGCACCCACCAGAGTATACCTGGCACAGATTATAAGTGAAAGGAAGCACAGGAAGCCATACCCTGTGAATAAGGTTATGTCAACAAGTTCCTGCTGAATTTCTTAGTTTAGTATCGTGCTACTAACTAGGGATTTAAAACAATGTGTAAAAAATTAAGTTATGATTTTGGTATAAGAAACTTCACTTGCATGTTGTCCTATTTTTCCTTTAACAGTTTTGTGAGGTACAAGGTAGGCACTTGAAAAAAATATGCTAAACCAAATTAGGCACAAAGCAGTACTTGGTCTTACACTCAAGTAGTGTGCTTAACATGAAGTCAGCATAGAGGTAGCAATCTGTGCTAGAATAAACAAGAAACAATAAAGGGCAAGGAGATTTAAATGGAATACTTAGGATGGGATATGGCAGCAAAGGAGGAGAGGCCATTTCAATAATGAGTGTAGAATCAATAAAAGACACAAAGAATTACTATGAGAATCCATATGGAAACAAAGGGTCTAAGGTTTTGATGTATAACAGAATTACCAGGCAGCTATATTGAAATACCTGTCCAGAGGGCCCTGTCCAGTTTCTAATTTGGTTGTTAACAGGATTAGGGTAGGGTCTAGGAGTCTGTAGGAGGGTGAGTTTAGATGGGGAAAGAAAAGAGCAGTAGCTATCTGGGTGAGAATCCAGGCCCTACCACTTCCTATGTGACTGAATTTAGCAGTTTCTAAACCTCTGCACCTGGGTTTCCTCATCTGTAAACAGGAATAATAATAATACCTATCAAATAGGGTTCTGGAGAAGATTAAACTAGATTATACTTCTAAAAACCTCAACACAGTTACCTGCAAAGTAAGTGGCACCAAATAAGTTGTTTAAAAGACAAACTTACCAATTCCAAAATGCTCATTCCACATGGTATGCAGACCAATTGTTGCTCCAGACAAATAATTCTTTAACTCATCAAATGGAATGTTTATTTTAAATTCCACATGTTCTTGAATTCCTAAATCCTCAGACAGTCTTCTCAGTTGGTTTACTCTAAGTTCATCATCTTTGTTACGACAACCTCCAATGAGGACAAGTTTAAGTGAAGAAGGTGACTCAGCTACTTTCTTATCCAGCAATTTTGCAAAAGCTTTGATTTGCAACGGATGATTTTTTTCAGGCCTGAATTGGCCAATGGAAACCAATATATGTCCTGGGGTCATTTTTTTCTCATGTAAGGGAATATCCAGAAATGTCTGCACATCGCAAGGCGGATAAACAATATTAGTGCAATTCCCAACCTTCCACAGTGAGAGAATATGGTTTAGTGTCCAAGAAGAATTGACCATGACTACATCACTGCAAGAACCAACAAGTCCATAAATAAAAGCAAACAAATAGTAGTATATCAGCTTTACTTTGCTGAGAAAAGGATTCTTGGTAATGAAGGTTGCATTATTAAATCCAACATTTTGATTCTTCACTACAGAGAGCATGTCAGTGCTGATAGTGGGATAATGAACATAGCTTCCAACTCGGCAACCCCCTATATACTTAAACAGAGGGAGTGTGAAGGCATAGCCCATTGAATCAATGTAAACATCAGGAACACACTGCATCAGAGCTTCCCAGCCAAGAAAAATGGATCCTAGACTTTGGCCAAGCAGTGTGAAGTGAGGATACTGTGAATCTTCCACAAGGTAGCGTTTCTTTAAGAAAACAAATTGCACTGGGCAAGTTAACCTGATGTTAAATCTTCTGAAAGCACCTTCTAGTATCTGTTGACCACTGATATTAACATCACCAGTATAAACAACATATACTGCTTTAGGATACCTAGAATAGAATATAATAGTTAAGAATGTCATTTATTTAGGTTCAAATCAAGCAAAAAGTTTTCTTATAATCTTAAGCTCATTTTAATACTAAAAAATGCTTTCCACTATTTTTCATTCATTGCATTTGAACTGCTGACTATACCCTTTCCTGAGTTGTCTACTGCCCAAAGACTAAAATGCTGGTTCTTCAAATAAGAACATGTGCTATGGTTTGACTATTTGCATCCCCTCCAAATTCATGTGTTGAAAATGACTCCTCGATATAGTGATATTAAGAGGAAGGGGCTGCTGGGGATGGAACTCAGTGGTAGAGTTACTCAAGGATTCTGAATTAATAAAATTCACAACCTTTATTGTTTCATCAAAGATACTTT